AGTGTAAAATAATATTATAAATGTGAGTATTTTTAGGTTCCTGTTAGAGGAACCTGACCTGTTGAGAAGATGGTTATAGTTAATAGAGACAAGTTTCATCCTATAACCAGGTAGGCCTATACAGAGAACAAATAAGTGACTGGTAAATATTTATTATTCTTAATTTTTTATGACAGTAAGAAGAAATATTAAATATACTTTATTATAGCTGAAGTCTCAATTTTTCAATTAGCTAAAGTCTAAGTTACAAGCTGACTTCAGGTCTGGTTTACATCATTGTTACTTATAAATTATATATTTTTCTGGTATACTGTATATGCTGTTTTACATGATTTTTGAATGAAATTAACACAGTTATTAATTTATCGTAAAAATATTACTGATGATCTGTGAAACAGATCCGGTTCAGCTTGTTGTTTATCAATTAGTTTCTATGGTGGCTGTGAGCTGTTGCCCTGTTTGGTCTCTGGTTCTGCTCCTCCATGCTGTCACAGATGCTACCAGTGGACGGCATGGGTGGGGCTCAGTCTAGTGATCTTATTCAAGTTTATGAGTTAAACCCATTGAACATGGCTGATCGATTTTAGCAAACACAACTTAGTCAATATGACAGATATGGAGCTAAAATGCTGTGTGGTAGTAGCTGAGAGTCATCCTCATCACATACTGTGTGCACTCTCAGATACTGGATGATCTTTGTTTTAATCTTTGACATGTACGATGAGATGGTGATATGCTAGTTTCATTATTTCTGCTTTTTCTGGATGATGAAATTAAGAAATTCCTCCTAGAACTTTTTTATTTTTATTTTTTTACCTAGAAATTTGATCACAACAAAGCAACCTTATTAGAATCTGCAGACTAAAAACCAATGAAAAAAAATTAAAAGTGTGATTTATTTAATTAATTGAACGAATGGATCTTTTTAATGGGGTGTGCTTTTAGCAGTGTTACCTTCTCTGGGTCCAAAGTAAAGTCTGAATCTAACAACTCCCCGGCGTCATCATCAGGGTCTCCTTCATAGATCTTATAGGCCGGGTTTCCAATCTCCACGTTCATGGCTCCATTTGTCATCCTGTGGTGCTGGAAGCCCTTTGCACTGCAGACAGTCACAAACAGAGAGATTAATCATCGGAGCAACGGATTCAAGGTATAAAACCCACCCCTTTCTGGGGTAAACCATAAATCAAAGTCAAAGTGCTAAAAAAAAGGAGGGGTTGTTTGGTCAAAAAAAAAAGTAAAGCCAGGTATCGACTCAAACCTAATCTACACACAGTCCACRTGATCAAGACAACATATCAAAGGTTGTCAAATAAGCCTTTTTGTGTAAAGACCATTTGATCAGTTTATCGTTTGTACAACAGCATGTCCACCACAAACAATGCTGGGTTTTCACTTTGCAAATAGTCAGTCAATTTGCAGGCTTGTGAAGATGTCTGACTAATGCAAAATTGTACGTTTTGCTCTGCAAGCACACAACACGAGCCCTGACAGTTTRCACATTTTAACAAGCAAAGACGTGGAGAAGCCAGAAGGATGTGAAAGTTCGGCTGCAGATAAGGTTCCTCGGGTCACTGGAGGGGAATCCTTGGGAAGGTAAACAGGAAATGGCAAGCAAGGACAAACTGACTGACAGAATGGACAAACGGACCAACATAAAATAATATCCAGTCTATTTTTATAGAAAATAAATAAATAAATAAAAAGAAGGGGGAGGATATTTGTGGGTCAGCGTGTGAATTATTTAACCCTATCATTACCGCGAGCAGTGAGAATGAGATTTGCCCGAGCACAGAGACCTGAGAGACAGGAAACAGATGGTTATTAAAAATGTATCACGGAAAGAGAAGGAGCAAGGAACAGATGAAGCGGAGAAATGGACGTAGAAATGTTTAAAAAAATAAAAATAAAGTGGATAACATTAGGACTCACCCACGCATTCTCCGCTTGTACCAGAAGATGGCGCCGACCACCAGCAGAGCCAGCAAGAGCAGCAGGAGCACTGGGACCACGATGGAGGCGGTACCTGTGTGACAGCAAACAAACTGAGCCAACGGGACCAAAGTCTATGTTTTCTCAGCAAGAACCTTTATTCAGAACGTGTGCGACTTACTGCTGCTCGAAGCAGGAGAATCCACAGAACTGGCTGCTGTTTCACACCTGTACCCGGCCCATCCAGCATGACACCTTGACACAAAGACCAGACAATTGTCACGAGTTTGAATGGCAGCTGATGGAGAAGGAGGAAGGGTAATGATGTAGCTGGGGGATGAGGGGATGGAGGACAAATCTCACTTGCACTGAGGAAGCAGCGTTTGCGTGTCGACCGAGCACTGGCCGTGTGCGCAGTAGTCCAAACAGGTGTAGCAGCTGGGCTGAATGTGTCCATTGGGACAGCTACACACACAAAGACAMAATCGTTCTCATGGTTTGTTCACAGAAGCATCATTTAAAGGCTAAAATGTAGTTTGAATCGATTCCAAACACGTTGACACTGTTCAGTTCTGAGTCTGTGCTCACCTGCAGGTGATCGGGCCCGCGGGCTGCGGGAGGCACTCTCCCTCTCCACAGAACTCACACTTGTCCAGCTCACAGCGACGCCCGCTGAACCGCGTGGGACACCGACACAGCTTGGTGCCGTTGGAGGTTTGTAAGCAGGTTCCACCGTTCTGACAGAAGCCCTCACATTTACCTGGGAATGGAGAGGGAGCTTGATGGATTTTCCAGTCTCGTTACGGTAGTTCAACTCTACGCCACAAGTTACCTTCAGCTGTTACGAAAACACTAATAAAAATACATGTGACTAAACCCCTTGAAAATGGCCTCTGTCTCTTTAAGAACCTCCAACTGTTTCTGACACTCCCACTTGAGCATGTCTTCTCAACAATGTTTCAGGGGACAGAGTGCTTTGTAGGAGGAGATATGTACAAATGGGTGGGGCTTTGTTCCAGTTTAGGCAGCTCCACATGGCTACCACAGGAGATTCAAAACAACATTCAGGGCATGTTTTTGACGAGGGAATGATGCTATAACATGATATAAATCTCTCATGACACCACTTTAAGAAGTTTTAGAGAAGACTTAATCTGTAAATCACTGTAAATAAATTGTAAATATGTAAAAATAGCTAAAAGATTATGCTTGGTTTTGCTAAAAGCTAAGATTTTTCTAGGGCGTTTAGTAAAATTCAGTCAGCAGCAGGATCCTGGGCAGATACAGGCTGAAACGTAGTTGTACTTGTTGCTTTTACTTTTTTCTTTGGAGTAGTTCATGACCTGTTGATTTGCCTACACCATTTCCTTTTTTGTTGCTACACATATTTAAATCCACACAGACTCAAAGCTTTAAAGATAATCTAAAACGGTATGAAAGTGCTGCAACTTACTGTACTGACAATGGTCTCCCTGGTAGGCTGGCGGGCAGCTGCAGGTTGGCTGGTTGCCCATGTTGACTGAGCAATTGCCTCCATTCAGACAATAATCCTTACATATTAGAAGATTGCACTGGGGTCCTGTGAAGCCTTTAGGGCATCTGCAAGTGGGTGCACCTTCAAAATAAAGCAAATATTTATTAGATGACAATAATAATAATAATAATAATAA